CAGAATAATCATCAGAATAACTTAAGCTGTTGTGAAAGTTCTAGAGCTACTGTAAATGATATACTGTCATAGTTTTTATGAGAATTGCTCTAGCCTTAAGTGCAGATACATTACTATTACTGCCTGATACACATTTGTATCTTTGTGATTAATGACTAAGAAAGAGTGCATTACTGAAGAGTGCATTACTGAAGCTGACTGATTTATGTTTGCTTTACATACATAAAAAATGAAGAATGAATGAAAAAGGACGATGCTGAGCATTTCTGAATTTAGATTCTGTTTGAAAGCAGAAAAAAAAGAAATTATGCACTGTAATGATGAGACAAGTGAGATGGCCTTATTAAACAAGAAGAAATGGAAAATAGAAAGAGAAGGGGCCTGTCTGGCTTCCAGTAGAGCCAGAGAGTGCATGTACAAAGCCGAGTCAGAGCACAGCTGATGACAGCTCATTGTTCACTCCTGTGATCAGTTGTGATTGTTAGTCATCTGGGAGTGATTAGCATGCTTGTATATGACTCTATGAATATCCATGTATAGAAGTGCTAAATTCATTCTTAAAAGAACCCAACAGATTAGTGCTTCGCCACACAATCACATTAAAAATTATTACTGAATAAGCTTCATGAGTACATTGAATAAGTTTCATACTTTTTGAATTCTTTTTTTCATCGATTTAAGCAATCACACAAAGCTCCTAATCTCATGTGGAAACACGTGCACAGACTATACAGTGCATCTGTTTCAAGTGCAAGTAGAAACAGAGGTTACATGGATGAATGGAAATGAAAAAGAATTAAAGCCTGTTGAAGGCTCTTTTTTAAGACACAACATGCACAATTTTAAAAAATGTTTGCGTCTTAATGGAAAAGTGAAGGTCAGATATGGGAAAACAACGAGGACACACAAATGTTCCCACTCACTCTCACTCATCTAGTCATTTAGTTCTGAGTACAGCTATTAAAAGCTGGTAGCAAGCTATGCTGAAGGAATATAATTTTGAACTTTGCCTGGTGGTTTGATGAACATGATGGCCATTACAAGCATTGGATATAAACTCAGTTACCCATATGGATGATGTTGTACAGATGTTTTAGTATTCTTCATCAAAATCAAGCAAACATATACACCAAAATATAAATTCTGGTAATATCCTTTGGAAGAGTTTTTTTATATTGTGCAAAAATATAACATAAAGTTGGTAAGTTAATATTGTATTGTAAAGACCCTACAGAGAAGTCCCAACAATCAAACGACCCCCTATGAGCAAGCACTTTGGCAAGAGTGGGAAGGAAAAACTCCCGTTTAACAGGAAAAAACCTCCAGTGGGACCAGATTCATCTGCCAGCACTGGTTTGGGTTGACAGGAGGACAAAAGAGGTGCTGTGGATGAGGGTCAGAGATGAATAATAACTCATAATTTAATAATTAAATACAGAGTATTGCACCCTTGATCTCTGGCTCTCTTCCACAGCTTGTCTTTTATCCTGTCTTCCTTGTCTCTCCCAGCCGGTCGCTGCAGATGGCTGCCCTTCCCTGAGCCTGGTTCTGCCGCTCATAGGGGGTTATATGATTGTTGGGTTTTTCTCTGTATGTATTATTGTAAGGTCTACCTTGCAGTATAAAGCGCCTTGAGGCGACTGTTTTTGTGATTTGGCACTGTATAAATAAAATTGAATTGAATTGAACTAATTTGAACTGAACCCTTATCATTGTTGTAAGTGACTTGTTGGGTGATCCAGAGAGAGCATTCTTCACACGAGGTACAAGCTGTTTGGGGCTTATCCAGATTTTAAAAAAAAGTATTTTTCAAGAAATGGCCAAGGCAGCAGCAGAATTTGCAACAAATATAACTTAACAGGCTTATAGAGATAGTTTCAGCGGTCAAAGGGGGTTAGATTGATTATAAGGTAGACCACAGAGTCACAAAGATCCTTGCAAAACAGGTCATTTTTTAAATTTTATTTTATGCATAACATTGTGGTCCTATAGCAGAGCTTGATTTTTGTGCTGCTGCTTCATATCAAAACAATATCTGCAGAAATCTTAGCGCTGCATGTGGTTTGAACTACAAATTCACTGATCCATATCACGTCACTTCACCTCCCTCCCTCCCGTTCACCTGAAGAGAGGTGGAGTGAGGAGTTGGGGTGCCACGTGCCTCACTCCACGCGGGCAGAAGGTATTGCTGTTTTGGATAGTAGTGGTGCGCGAGCGACGCAGCTGCGGGTCAGGTTCAGTTAACGGGCTTATTTCCAGCCAAAGCCGAGATAACGCGGAGCGACTGAACAGGAAGACAAGAGAGAAGATAACAGAACACCAGGAGAAAGGCGTTTCATCGACGAGTCTTCTTCGCGAAGGTAAATTATTTTTAGCCAACTTTTCCTTGAGTGTCCACTGTAAGCAAGTCGTTACAGAGAATATTTCGAGGAGGAGAAAGCAAAAAAACAAAAAACAACAACAACAACAAAAAAAAAAAAACACGGAGTACTTTTCCTGTTGTTGTTTTCTCCCCCATGCTACTAATGTTTTTGCTTAGCTCCAATCAGACTGAGACTTGTTTGAAATATTAACATGTAAAAAACATGTTTTCTCTTTGTCTCCATAATTACTGTTGAAGCCTTTACTAAGCTTTGTATGTGACTATCCTTTACTCACATCTGCATGTGAAGACTGGAGTTGCTTTTCTCTGACACATGTTAGCGATATTCAAAAGGATTTGTTGCACGTTGATTAAAACAAAAACTTAGAAGATAAATGTACGCCTTAAGTGGCAGTCGAAGAGAAGCCGTTACCTCCCTTATGCCGACTCAAAGTCTATTCGGTTATTACACCCTTTCAATTGTGTCACAATGCCGCTAATCGACACGTGAAGTGCTGTAACTTGCAGGAAAACTAAAGTATCACATGTGTGACAAAGAATATCGCTCTTAGATTTTTTTAGGATTAGAGGGATGGAAACGAATTAAAAAATAGAGTCGTTGAGACTTTTAAGC